AGACTACCAGTAAATCATTACAATGATTTACTGGTAGTCTCGAAACCCTACTTTCTTACGAATATAAGTATTTATTCACTATTAAGTAATGTCCTCGAAAACCAGTCTCAATGAAGAGTTGAAGAATAGTGTTCAGTTGGAAGTGATTCCTCATTTTGATCAAATAATCACGCTAAAGCAATCTTGCGTTTTAAATAGGGTTTCTGGATATTTGAATCCTAATAACCGAATTGTCATGACAGCCGACAAAGGTGAAACAGTGGTAGTCATGGCTAAGTCAAGTAATGTAGAAAAAATGACAGTTCATTTAAATGACATTGGTGCCTATAGGACTTTACGGAGGGATTCAACAGACGCACACACACAGACAAAAGCAGCAGGACTAATATGAAAGATAATTAGCCACATCATCCTATTCATTTTCGTTTTTAGTTATGATTATATATAAGAGGTAACATAGAGCCGGATAGTCTCCTTGACTTGGTGTCTGTTAGCGTGAGACTTTTATCGGAATAGTTCCAGCTGTGATGATGTCCATCTTATGTTGGATGAAAGCTCAGCCCGTGTTCACCTGAAGCGAGGGAAGATGTCTTGTGGACTGCTTGAACCGGAACGCCAAACGGCTGCAGTACAACGGGATTCAGCCGTCGTTTTCCTGTAAGATCAACCTACGGATCTCTTCTCCATGCATTTTCATACGAAATCAAGGTCTCCCCAATAAGGCCATCTCAGGATACTCATCTAAACTCTCTTACTCTTCGTATCTTCAATGAAGATGCTCTTTAGGAGTCGAAATTTAAATGTATAATTGCCCCTCTCCGGTTGCCTTGTCCCCGAAGCTGTGCTCTCCGCCTGGCAGCAGAACCAATGCTTAAAGTGACTTATTTATCCTTATCCATTTCCCCAGTTGCCGTCAACGTATCGTGGTATTGATGTTTTTGCTTAATGGCTGGCTTTCCGGATGAAGCATAAATAGGGGCATTAAGTATTTCACCTATTTACGATCATTTTACACCTTGTTTTATTGTCTGTATATAGCAGGTAAAAGTGAAATCCGTCTTGCGGCGAGGGATGACAAGAAAGGCAATCAGGGAAGGCGCCTTCTGGAAGAAATAGGCAACGTTTCGCTTTATAGTGAATTTGAGCAAAATAGTCGTTTGGACTGGTTGGCGCCGTAGGCATTTCGGATATGTGCTTTAATGACCTTAAGAATAAGTGGGGATAGCGGTAAAGGCTCTCCTTCATTTCCTCGTGATTCTCACTTTTTCGTACCTTCCACTAGTGAGATTGCGAATTGGACAGTCGGAGTTTCTATCGCTGCTGCGCTTACCCCAGACTCGTCCATCATATTCGTAGTCAGTAGTGTCAAGGCACCTGACATTTTAGCTCACAACAATTCCATAAAGAAGTCGCTAAATGCTTTCAGGATTGCAATGGGCCCCTTCCGTGAATTCGTTCATACTGGATCGTTGTTTGAACCTGTGAAGGCGCGATGAATGTTCTCCTATTCTAAGGTAGACTTGAGATGGGTTCCTTTCGCACAGCGCCGTGGTGCGCTGGCTTTACGTGGCTTCATGTTTCGCTTAAAGACAATCCTCCTGTTTTTTTAAATTAAGAAAAAGCAGGTTTCAGGAATCTTTTGAGATCCCATTATTGTGGAGACCTTCAATTCGTATATGGGTGCATGATGTAGAGCTTCGAAGGCCGATCTGACCAGAAGACGACGACCGATTTTTGTTGTATTGCAGCCATTTGGCTTTAATACAACCTTCACCCGAAACGAGAAAGGAGGACTCTCGGGCTGCGTCAACTTGAGGGTCGTTTTCAAGACAATGGGAATCCACTACCATTTCCTGATGAGATCAACCTACGAATCTCTTTATCACGCACTTTCCAACGAAATGAAAGTTGCTACAACAAGTCAACGACAAAACCTGTTATTCAGATGCATTCAGTCAATTTCGTTAAGGTGATGAAGGACTAATAATTGCATTTTTATACAATCCTATGATTAGACTCCACGTTTCTACTGATGCTCGCATGGCCGTGCTTCCAAAAAGTTATTCCCATCCCAGCTGGACTGGATTGCCTCGCCTGAACTGGTTTCATCAGTACCACCAGTCGGACCAGAACCCCTATAGAGCAGTTTATAATCTCGATACATTTACTACTACACCACGCTGCCACGAGTACTCTTGTGACACAGGACAGATGTGAATTTCAGTGAAGATCAGGCACTTTCCAATATCACATTATGTATATCATACATATGATCTGACGGTCTCAAAAACCTACTTATGCTTGAACTTACAATATGCTTTTGTATTTAGAAATCTGCATCATGATGACGATGCCAAGCGCATCATTGTGGAGGTCTGGGACTGGGACCGTACTTCAAAGAACGACTTCATGGGCAGCCTGTCATTCGGAGTCACCGAAATCATGAAGCAACCTGTCGACTGTTGGTTCAAATTGCTCAGTCAGGAAGAGGGCGAATTCTATTCAATACCCTGCCCTGATGACAATATAACACCTTCCCTGGAAGACCTCAAGTCCAAATATGAGGTAAGCCATTTCGTTCTGCTCCCCCAGCTCGTTATCCCGCTTACCTCAGTTCTGCACGTTCTCTATTTCCTAGTTTACGTGTGTTTATACTATCACATTTCGGTTAAGAGTGCATATGCTACAGGCGTGAATACATAGTGAAGGCTGAACGTTTATTTTCATTGCATCTGAAATTTAGGGGAAGGCCCAACAATACCAAGTTATTTCATTTTGAAATGTAACAGAGAATTTGTTCTCTCGCCATCATTCTCTTAAGCTACGTCAAATATATTATTTAACAATTCTGATTCTATTCATAAAGTCATATACCAAATGACTTACCTTTGTTAGGATTTAGGCACAGCCAGCATGCGCTTTTAGCTGCCATTGATATAATCCTTTTTCCTATCTTAGCTCGGCATATGTGCTGTATACATCTTTTGATCAAGCTATGTCTTCACGGGTCCCCCATGCTTCAAGTCGTATACTCTGAGCCAACTGGGAACCTTCGTCTTTTCTCTCCGCCACATCCAAAGTGGATCAGTCGTAGAACTAGCTTCGTTCTACTTTCCATTGTGGCAAATTCCTAGACGGCTGTTGTTATCCTCATCCATATTCCCTTGTTTCCTCGAGCTAACTACAGCTATAACAACAATCTTATCTCGATTTCCGATTGCTTTGCCGTTACCACTTCCCTGCGATCCATTTCATCTTGGTTAACGAGGGATTCTCGATTTACTTCGAGTTTGCTTAGGCAGTAGGCAGACTTTTTGCTAATTATTTCTTCTTCAAATCTCTTCTTAATTAGATTTCATTCGGGAGAGATATCGACAGCCTCACAAATATTTTATTTTCTCGTTTATCTGGTTTATCAGTTCTCTCTATACAATGTGTTCTGCTACTTCGCATCTTCCTATATCCATTTTTCTGCAGACTCGGGCATATTTTGGCATCTGGGCTAATATTTCTTCCCTCTTCACTTTTATACTTCTGCAATAAACTCTCAATCATTCTAGTTTGTTCATCTTCTCATGTTACTTGAATAAGCTTGCTAAGTGAGTTCTCTTTTTTTTTATAACCACTTGAAAATTCAATTATCTTTATATTGGTGGTAGTTTCTGAGATTGTCCTCAGGAGAGTAAGCGGCTCCACTTAAGGGCCTTATTTTCACTTTATATTCTCCACGATGTCATCCATTTTACACGGCAATTGTGTTGCCTTGTATGACTTCTATCAGATATTAATCGCCAGGAAACATCCGAGTCAATTTAACCTATTCTTCCTCAAAGCATTCCATTTATGCTAATCTTAGGTTTCTGATAATCATGTTTCTCATTAATCCGAGGTTAAGTCTGTAGTTGTGCTTTAATGTTTGGCTACATAGAACAATAAGAAGGTCATCTTCGAGGGCATGAGGAAGATTAGGAGATGAGTTGAATAAAGTAGTATTAATATGGAAAGATCTAAGTCTGATCAACATTTCAGACACAACAAAGGGGGAAAGAATGGAGAATTTAGTGAAAGATATGAAAAGGCCTCACTAGACCTGCTCACAAGGGCACATCTGGGATAGTCCGCCATAAG